CATGGTAGCGGAAGCTTGGAGTTTGGTTACGGCAGTGACGCTAAGACGTGCGTGGAATAAACTGAAAGGCCTACCGTCTGAGAAGAACAAAAAAAAAATCTGAAGAAAATGAGAAACAAGAATATGGAGAGGATGATGATGATAAAGATGCGTTGTCACTAGAGGAAATAAGAAAAATGATTGTAAAAATTCCTGGTTGTACAGAAGTAAGTGCTGAAGATGTAGGAGAGTGGATGGCTTGTGACACGTCTGACCCTGGTTTTCAAATTCTCAATGACGATGAAATTGTTGTAAGTGTGAGAGAAGATGTTGAAGTGGAAGTGGAAGCAGAACTTTCTGCTGATGTTGAAGTAGACGCTGGACCATCAGCTAGTGAAGCATTTGCCGGCCTCGAGACTGCTTTGAAGTGGATGGAGCGTCAGCCCGAGTGTGACCACTTGCAACTGCTCACCGTCAAGCGAATGCGTGACCTGGCTGCCCGAAAACGGTTGAAGACCGCAAAACAGCTTACATTGACGGAGATGTTTAAAAAACAATGATTTTTATTTCTAAACTTGTACATAAGTACATTTTATTTATATTTAAAACATGTGAAAATTTCATGTTTCTTTCATTTAATTCAATAAAAAAATAGTGCAATATCAAAACGTAGCTTTTATTCTCTCCAATGGCAAATTTTTTTAAAAAAATCCGATTATCCGAATATTTGATTATCCGAATGGGTCCCGGTCCCCATTAATTCGGATAATTGGAGTTCTACTGTATTTGTCTTGTATTATACATAAAAACCTTCCTTTTGAATCACGCTATCTATGAAAAAAAAACCGCATCAAAATCCGTTGCGTAGTTTTAAAGATTTAGGCGCCTATTACACTACCCAATCTATCGGGCACGATATATCGGCCGCGATTTAGGGCGGTTGGGGTCGTTGTGATCACACTGCACTAGATCGCCTCCCTAACTCAGTTGGCATGCAAACGTGGCGTTGAAAGGATGGCTCCTTCGCTCACAAAGTACCAAAAAATTGGCATAGCCCATACTTTAACTGCGGGCGTTAATAATAAAACAAAATGTTGGGTGAAAAATATTTGCTTCTAAATGACCAACTATGCAGTTTGAACTACTACAGAATGAGTTCTGCACAATTTGATCATATATTAAACTTAGTCATACCTTATAGCTGTGCTGTAACCTTAAAAGTTTTAGCAACGGGAAATGCATATCATGACTTAAAGTATAAATACTCAATAAGTTTATTGTTTCCATAGGTAATTTAAAATAATATTACATAATTAAGTTAGTCTCACTATGGACCCTATCGGGCACAACAATAATATAAAGTTTATTATAGCATTAGTTTTTATTATTGTAATTTATATAAAATCTATCTAGAAATGTTTAAAACATTATATCATATTGATATATATATAAGATAAAGTAATAATATTAAATTACACTTAATATTATTTCTTTTCCCTTTGAGAAGACATTTTTGTCTGTTCGCAAATTTCGTTGTCGTTCACTGACGTCTCACACGCACGCTGCGCAACAACCGACTGAGCGCTCTAACACCCTAACAACGATCACATTACCCGATAAAACGGCCCTAACTCTCATCGGGCGATCGGGCGCCCACGTTCACCCGATATCGGGACCCTAACTCTCTAACTGCGATTAGACTACCCAATTTACAGTGTACCCGATGGATCGGGCCCGATAAATTGGGTAGTGTAATAGGCGCCTTAAGCATACATAGGGACAGAGAAAGCGACTTTGTTTTATACTAGGTAGTGATATCATCTATAACATATCGATACCTGATATTATTTACACCTTCACGGATCACACAGAGTTTCCTTGATTTTAAGACAAAATTAATCAAACATCATCATTAATACATAACCAAAACGCCTTTAAGCATGTAACTAAAATTGGACTTATAATTATTTTAAAAAACAACATAATATATATTAAAACCACCTAAAGCATACAAAGAATAAATTAATTATTTAAGCATTTCAAGTGAAGCAGACAACGAAAAAAATTGCGAGGTTCTGATATTAGTTTATATTTTGTTTAATGGTACCCATAGATCAGTAGGTTAAGAACCACTTTAGGGTTTCGTAAAGGATAAAAATAGGACACTGTTAATAAGACTCCGCCGTCCTTCCAGTCGCCAGGCTACCTCATGAATCGGAATAATTAGATAGCTACGTGCAGGGCGAGAAAACATGTTTTCATATATAAACATACATACATATAAGACTAGATAGCAAATTATTAACAACGCTAATTTCACTTCCAATAAGAAATAACATTCAATTTAATTTACTAATCATATATTAATCACTTCACGCATTTAGTCTCATATACCTACCCGATTTTTGAATCGAGAATTTAAAGTAAAGCGGGTCTCGAACTCTACTTAAACAGGTTTCTGATTTTGGTGTAGCCAGTTTGTTAGGAGTTTACAAAAAGCTCTGTATATCCCCTGGAGCTGCCAAATGCACATTATGAATGAATCTCAGCACTTCACATTTGTTTCATTGTCCGCTTGCCGCGTAAAATGCGTCCATTGTAAATTTGAACTTTTTGACAGGAATGTCGACATGAATGTAAGCGAATATACAGATATCAGCACAAATAAACTCATTTTTTTACAGTTAATTTCAGGTTCTATTTGAGTTTAAAATTTTAATATTTCTGGGCAAGTCAATTTACAGCAAATTGTCATGCCCAGAAAAATTGTCAAAAATTTTTATTTTTGTAAAAGTTTCTGCATTATTTTAAAATTACCTTTATTCGTTAGAATGTCATTAATGGAATTATTAGTATTTGCAATAACAAATAATTGCTAAAGTTTACGCTATTTCACATTGCGGCGCTAATTTACTGTTAAATCTATACCGACATAAAGCATAGCAATAACAGACAGCGCACGAATTTATAAAAAATAGTATTTAATAATAGTATATAATAGGAATTACAGTCTGCTGTGACTTGACTACGCCTATTTAGGGACAGGGGCGAGGCGACAGGTTGCATAATAATCGCAACGCACATGAGATTATAAGCAGTGATGAGTAATCTCTAGATGTTGCACATATTAAAATAGAAAACTTTTTACGCCTAGTGAGTAAACAATACAAGCGTATGATTAAAAATTAATAACTTTAATTTGATTTTATCGGATCTACCTTTGGCGGGTAATTCACTAGACAGGCATATCCGCCGAGCCTTGATACTATAAGTCTTTGTATATTTGCTAGTGCATTGCAGTCATTAAACAGACCTATAGAAGCATATATCTTTACGCAGAGAAAACCGAGCGCCACAAGGTACGGACGTAACTCTTTCGTTTTTTAAATTCATTATTGTTTTCATACATGCTCGCCAGTTTTTTTGGCTTCTGATGTCATTCAATAACAGTTGCTTGTGATACTAATTTACAAATGTTCGCATCAGTTTTATCACTGCTACAAATCCGATTAACTGGAAGACATTGAGTCAGCTATTTGTATTATATATATTTCAAACTATAAACTTATTTATTCAGGATCAGTGCTGAGTTACGAAAAATCGGGGCCAGCAGCAAATTTTTAAACAACCCTAATTAATCTTTGACTTGAGTTTTATTTGTTAGTTGAAAGCCTGGTTGAAAAATAGCGATGTTCCTAATAGCGCGGGTCCCTTGGCATTTGTTACTTTTGCTCCGTGGCTAATCCGGCCCTGATCAGGATTTATCTTGCAATTGAAATCTCGTGTGCATTTCACCGAGACTGGTTGGACCTTTAATGTCATTGGTCGCCACCGCCACCGCGTCCACGGCCGTCCAGTTTGGGTCCTAACCGTTAATATTATTTGTATGTTGTACATACAATAATACATTGCAGAGCGATACAACTAATAGAGTCATTGAATCCAAAAGTTTCCGAAATACATTTACTGCTATATACACATATAAGGCAAATATTACCCTAGCTAAGCATAAACTTGCGGTAACTTACTCTTTTAAATACTCCTTATTACAGATAAAAATTATAACTTAATCTAAGCATATATGTTATGGTTTCACTACTTTTGATATCTAGAGATTCTATAAAAAAATAAAATCATTTATTCGACTATAACATGGTGTGAAGTTGTTATACCATGAAAATAATAAAGACAAAATTTCTTTTTCTTTTAAAATATTATAGACATTGGTTAATCTACAATTTCATTTCAAACTTAGCACTTCAGCATATACAAAAGAGCGATTATAACTACGCGATATTTTTTTTCCAAAATTACAGTACAAAATACGAATATAAAATTTAAGTTGAATTGCAAAACTTATTTTACAAGACAGTCAATCTATGATGATATTCTAGAACTTACAAGCCATGAATAATTGGCCAAAAACATTGTGCATTTATGTGATTTTAATCAGGCTTGAAGGACCATGTGGAATTAGTGGAATCTGCTCTATGGTGAACTATTCTAATGGAGTGTAGGTACTGAATTATGATTAGGTGTTGAATTATGAGATGTCTAACATTTGAAGTAATAGTCATTATCATAATAAGGGGAATTCGAAATTGTTGCATTTTATTAAAAAAACAGCGTTCCAAGTCCTTTTTTGAACAAATTAGAATATAAATTAAGTTAGCTTTTTTTTTTGTAAAAACCTAGATTTATTTCCGAGAAATCCAGCGCATTCCACAATGCTGTATTTTTGGAAAAATTGATCGGTCGTTATTTGGCTCAAGTTAGTTGGCTCAATTATTTATTATAAGAGTATAATCAATTTTTATAAGAGTATAATCAACAAAACGAATAAATTAGGGCAAACGTTTCATATTAACATGTATTGCACTATTTACAGAGCGTTGACTAGCACAAGATCACGAAATATAGTTAGATATATAAAAACTTATTTTTCATTTTTTTTTTCTTAAACAATATGCATTTTGGCAAATGTTAAATTGAAATTTAAGAGCTTTAAATTAGAATTCAATAACAGTTGTAGCCAGTTAAATTTATGTTGGATTCGCTGGCTAATTGGGACATTGCATTTATGTGACCAAATGTATAATTGTACTAATGTATTTGATGTAATTATAAGGGTGGCGGCTCACGGATTCCCTCGGAGTGCCGTGTGCGTCCGGCTAACTCTAGTATGGCTTTGGCTTCGGGATTTGTGTCTAGAACACTCACGTCTCGTTCATCCTACGAACAAAATGAAAGTTGTACCTTAGTTCATAGAAAAATACTGAAAATTTCAACCGTCACAGGTAAGGAGACGGGATACGAACTGATAATCTATCGCTTAGTGGGCGATTGCTCTATCAATTAACCTGTTCTCAAGATAGCAACTATATGTTCTTCGCCATTGACTGGGTTCTAATATGTACCCTAGTGTACAAATAACTACGCGTGCCTTGCCTTTGATTAGTTCTGGCTAGTACCCTAGGATACAGTTACTACGTACTCGGTTGTTGATCGGTCTGATTTGTACCCTAGTGTACATTAACTTCGTACTTCGTTGTTATTAGTTCAGACTTGTACCTTAGTGTACACTAAGTAAACGTACATTTTCCTCAGTCTGTACTGGCTTGTACTCTAGTGTCCAGTAACTACGTACTTAATCCTTGTTCAATTATGATTTGTACCCTAGTCTAAAGTATACGTACCTCATCTTTGATCAGTTCAGGCTTGTCCCCTACACCCCACACTTCAAGACTGCGTATATGGAAGGTGGGTTCTTTCGACAGTCGCTTGTACCCGCGGTACGTACTACATGATTCTGCGGAGGACCCTTCACCGAACGGATCAGCATTCACCCATATACCACCAAATTCAAACTGACCACCCATAATCTGAAAATTAAAGAAACTGCTTTTGAGGATGTCCTACAAATAGGACCTGATAACGCATTGTTTAGCTCGTCCAGTTTGCGATGAAATTAAGTAACTTTCGTGACGATCTTAGTATAGGTGTCTAAAAGATGTATTATGTTCCACTATCTCCTCCGTGTTTGGCCGCATCTGCAGTCGTTAATGCACAGGAATCCGCGCTGGGCCAGTGTGGTGAGTCGTGATCAAATCTCCTAATTCAAATTTAATTCCATCAATAGAGAATACCTGTGCCCCAATAGTGGGATGGTAATGATGAAACCTCCCTGGGACCTCGAGGTAATTTATGACCTGTAGGCTAATTGTCTAATTTTAAAATCTAACGTAATCCCTTTCAAAGGTATAGCATTGTGATATTGCTTTATGGAATTACTAGCTTTTGCCCGCGACTTCGTCCGCGTGATATAGTTACTTTGGGCATCATATATTTTCCAAAAACGCTGTCGTTTTTTGAGCTGATGATGAAATTAGCTTGATGTTTAAGTTCGAAGATATAACAACAAAATACCAACGAATGTCCAATATGTTTCAGCACTTTATCTCTGAAACTTTAGAGATATTAATCCAATTCAATGCAATTTGAAATAAAGATGAAAAAAAAATTCTTTGAAAGAAACGTTACCGCGGATTTCTATATAATAAACGCCATCTAGAACACAGCGCCATCTATTGGGTGTATTTGCAACCTAGATGTCAAACGATATTGAAAAATTTTATCTATGAATCAACGTACACCGCCATCTATGAGAACTTCATAAAACTAAACAGTAAATAAACACTTGCTTAAGGAACAATTAATTAGAACATTTTATTTGTTAACATTGACGACATAAGCGAATAAATGAGATGACAACTATTCTATCTAGTAAGTTAGACCAAAATACGGCTACATGTGAAATTTGATAGAAATCAGTTCAGTAGTTTTGGAGTTTATTGGCAACATACATCGTGATACAAAATTTTTATATATATAGATATAACTTTTAAAATAGCAATCGCTTTTGAAACGAAAGGTGATTCGAATAATCAAGAAACAATAAAACTTATCTTAACCGCCGAATAATTGCAGATAGAATTTCGTTTAAAATTTCTCAATAGCTTTCAAATATATTTTCGTCTAACATTTGCCTTAGACAATTCCATTTACGTTAACTTAAGGATCATTCAATATCTTTAAAAAATAATGTCTCGATCAGAATCTCATATGTCAAATAGTTATAGGGAAATGTAAGTAAGTGATGTAAAATTTAAAGAAATGCGATCGATATTAAAAAGCTTTGGTAATTATTTCATCCAGCTTTATTTCCTTATTAAAGGTAGAGATCGCTCTAAGCGATAAGACCGCCAATTGTTACACTGTAATATTATTATAATTATTTAATATTATTAGTTAATATTTTTATGTCAATTTCTGTATCCGTAGTTGACAATAAAGAGTTATCCTATTATTATTATAAATGTGAAAGTTTCTTTGTTTGTATGTTTGTCGGTCAATCACGCTGAAACTACTGAACGGATTTTGATGAAATTTAGTATACAGATAGGGTATTAACTGACTTAGATATAATAGGATACTTTTTATCCCACTAAACATTTCCCTAGGGTCCACGCGGGCGAAGCCGCTGGCGAAAGCTAGTTAATAATAATTACTTAATATAATAATGAATTAATACTTCCACATGTTCGAACCAACGGAGCACATTTCTGTTGATTTTTACAATGATACTTTTTAGTGTCGAGGTAAAAGTTTGTTTGAAAGAATTCAGGTTAACTTTATTTCTTATCTTTTTACTACGAATGCGATCCGCGACAAAATTTTAGGTAGGGAACGCACCTCGACTCCATTTATTCTATTCTATCATCTATCTTATAATCCCCGCAAATTGCTAATACGCCTGGCCGCCATTTTGGTCACGTAATGAGGAAGTATTAAAAAAAAATAGTTCCCGAAATCTAACTAGATGTCGTCACGGTACGTTCGTGATTTCTTCGTGACAACCTTTCCGTTTTTCTTTCATGTTTAAAAGAAAATTAGTTTTCAAAACTTAATAAAAAACTCATGTTCTATTTGTACTTTTTCGTATTTGTATTGAAATTATAGTTTCGAACTTTTCAAATTTCAGCTTTTTAATATGTTAGTTAAAAGGAACGGAAATGACTGTCTTTGGTCCATTCGTTTCCTGCAAAAATCCACTTTTGCTAGAGTCGCCATCTAGTGGAGGTGCTTATTTAGTGCTTCCGTTTTTTTTTTAAATACTTCCTCATTGCGTTTAACAATCAATACCGTTAAATAAGCACTGGTTCCCAAGAACATTTAATGAGTTCGGTTATGTTGAGATCACACACAACTTTTGTATGTTTTTGTTAAGTTTTGTTGTTACTCGTTATGGTTGATTTAAATAGAATCTGCTATTATAATTCTCTCATTTCATTATTACTTTTGGCTATGGTTTAAAAAATTTAGTAAGTCCTTTACGATTGTTTTCGCGTTATTACAAAGTAATATTTTTCTTTTCATACTTTTTTATTTTCCATACACTTATATGACTACTAATACGTATACGACTTATACGAATTAACATGACACCTGAAGGCCTATTATATTTCAACAAAAACGAAATTTTGTCATTTTCGAAATGCGAGTACGACTTCAAAGAAACACTTTTTCTATCATTTAAGGGCCTCTGATGCATAGAAAATTTTCGCAGATTTTAACAAACTTGGAAACCTTCAAAATTTCTTTCGAAGACAAATAAAATAGGCCTTTAGGTGTCATGCTAATTCGTACGAGTTAAACATGCTGTTTCAGACATGTACGAACTTACTTAAACAATAATAAACCTGTTAAAGTACCGGTTAAACAATTAATAATGAGTTATCATTTAACAATGGTTAGATGATGTCGTAACTTTAACTGTTAACGATAAATGTCTAAGTTTTTACTGGTTATTGTTTGACTATGCCAAGAAAGAGGATGATGAAACGCATTCCATAGACAATGTTTATTAAAGCCACCATGACAGATATTGTCAAATTTGACATAAACCTAAACTTTAATATTTTATAGTTCCTGATATTGTGATGGAAAATGACGTCATATTTTAATGAAGCCATTTTTCAATATTGACGACTATGTATGAATTGAAATAGGTATTTAAAAGCAGCCCTTGCCAAGTTTCTTGCCGGTACTTCTCGGTACAAGGTCTCCCGCCATAGACTTAAGAGCCGATGGCATAGAGTTTCGACTTTCACTAGTCAAAATCAAAGTCAAAGTCAAAATAATCTTTATTCAAATAGACTTCTTAAAAGTACTTTTGAATCGTCCAACATTGTTTTTCCCTACCACTCGTTCAGGACGTCTTTTGTTTGATATGAAGAACGAGCAAGAAACTCACCAGCTCTAATAAGAGTAATGACTAATAAGTGACTAATGTTATTCCTAAAAATACTGTGGTATCCACAAGGCCCATGTTCTTATCTTTTAAATTAACATTTATATCTACTTTTTTAACATTAGGTAGTACAAATTTTAAGCATTTTGTTTTTCCTTCATTAAGGAGAATATTATTTACACTAAACCAATGTACTACTTTAGCGATAAAATTGTTCACATCGTCATTTAGAGGTAACCCTCTTTTAATTTTAAACAAATTTCAAACAAAAGTGAAGTGATATCCGCAAACAAAACTATTTCGTGATCATCCCATACGAAATAAGGCAAGTCATTTATGTAAATCAAAAACAAGAAAGGACCAAGTATTGAGCCCTGCGGAACACCCATCTTAACTTTCGATCCAGGGGATCTTTTGCCATTGATATCAACCCTCTGTACTCTGTCAGTCAAGTATGAGACAATAAAATCCAATGAGTTATCTCTAAATCCATAAAAATGCAGTTTCCTATTCAATGTTTCATGAAAAACACAATCAAATGCCTTATATAGGTCACAGAAAAACGCATCATGTGAATCCTTGTACATTAAAAATTTCTTGTACTAACTCGACAGGCTTTTTGTTAGGCTGTTACTAGTGCTTTGTAACAGCCTAAAGTGAATAAATGATTTTGATTTGATTTTATTATGGCGCAATCGAGACTTACGGTCAGTTGCACAAACGTCCATTAAGGTTTAACGATGCGTTTAAGCTCTAATGAATGTCAAATTTGTATGGGTAATGTAGCTTTAAACTAATGGTAATTTGAATGGACGTTTGTGCAACTGGCTGTTAGTTGTTTAAATATGCTCACCAGTCCATTAGGCAGTGTCTTCGTGTGATGATTTATATACTGGTAATGGTTATTGTACCCAGTGGACGGGTACGCTCTCATCTTGGGCGCGAGCGTGAACAGGAACGAGTCGTCCGTCCCCACGAAGTTAGGTCCGATAGACCAGGGATAGGGCGCGTATCCACCGAATATGTATCCACTGTTGTCCTCTATTATAAGGATAGATGCGCCTTGCTCTTGGATGCGACCTGTATACACATGCAATGTATGCAGTTATAGTGTTTCGTCTTTTTCACTTGAACTGAAAGTCACATTGGAATGAACAGAGCTATGTGTAACTAAATAAACGTTTTAAGTGTCTTAGTAACCTTATTACAGTACTATTCGAGCCAAACAAGAATAGGACTGTCATACAGCCACCTTGGTTCCTCTTGTGCTCCAAATTAAATGTGTAAGGTGACAAATGAAAAATGGTTAACGTAAAATTAAAACTAGAATAAAAAAAAAATATATGTATACATATTTGAAATATTATTGAATGAAGAGTATTTTCTTCCATTAGTACTTTTAAAAATGGTTTACTGTACTGTATTCGCTTCAAGCCAATACATTTTTATTAATTTATATGTGGCCCCACTTGCTGGAAAAAAATAGATTGAATTAATCCAGCAACTGCGAGTGCGGTTCCAGTTAATATGATTCAAGTCGCCGGAAACCTCTTAATTATACATTTCCAATTGCCATTACACTTTGAATGACGTTTGACTGTGCTCCACAGTACTAACCTGCCATAGTGGAGAAAGATTCGCCGTGTATATGCGAGGAGAAGAGGAATCTCCACTTATGTTGATGCTTCTGGGGAAGATGACTGTTCAGCCACACGATGTGGGACAAATCTATGAACGCGGGGTAATCAGGCATCGCGTCTAAACCTAAAAGAACAACAATATATACTAATATTATGAAGCTGGAGAGGTTTTTTTGTGACAGCGCTAATCTCAGGCTCGAATTTAAAAAAAAATGTTGTGTTAAATAGTCCAAGTTATCAAGGCTATATTATATATCACTCTAACACTAATACTAGTGGAGTAACAATGAGAAATGTTACAAATACTGGAAAACCACGCGGGCGAGGCCCCTGCCGGATAGCTACTTTACTATACAATAGCTACACATATCCGACGATATAGAAAAGTCAATTTTCTCAAATAAAAAAATTACAGAGTAATATAGTTTTTTAATATTTATTTTTATATGTAGTAAATAAACAACGTCAGAAATCGGAAGTCGACCTCCGATTGAGGTGCGCAAACGCACTGCGCAGTCCGTTTGTACAATTTTATCGTTAGCGTTTCAAACGTGTAGGTCAATTTTGATAGTATTTACGTAACAATCGCATCTCAATTAGTAATGCGACTCGAGTAGGATTTTGTGTCAAGTCACTCGAGCCAATTAACTACCTCAGTCGAGTCATAATCGATTTTTCGAGTGACTCGAGTAAAAAAAATTCAAATTTTAAACAAATACATACATACACAATCAAATAGTTTTGACATATTATTTATTTAAAAAAATAAACGAATTAGATTAATAAATTAGAGTAGCGAAGTCACATCTAGTGGCAAAAGTATAAAGATTCGAGTGATATTTTTTGTTCACTCGAGTACAAGTTTGAAAAAATCACACGAGTGAGTAAAGTAAAAACAGGACTCGAGTCGCATCATTAATCTCAATAATTTGCATTTTGCCATTGTACTGGACTACAGCTAGACAGGACAATGGCAATGCAAGTAGTTGAGAGTCTATGTCTTACAGGCAGCAGAATTGCCTTACAGGGGCCGACAACCTGCGGCTCTTTCTATAGTGGCGGCTCTCAAGTTTTACTTATAAAACAATTCCGATAATGACCAAACGTACGATTAAACTTAAAATTTAAAGTCAACCTTGTTTCAATAAATTTTAAAATACAACGTATCAGGTGACCGTTTCGTCCACAGTCAGCGGGTCAGGCGCGAGGATATTGGTGGATTCATTAAAGATATTAATTTACTATCGAAACACTTTAAATAGTTGATATATTTTTAATTAAATAAAATCTCTAATATTATAATTCATTTTGAAATGAAATCTTTCAGTAGCTTTATAAAAACTTTGAAATTTAGTAATTTGTCTAGAGTTATTCAATGATATTGATTTGAACCTAGCACATAGTTACCTTCAGGTAGAGGTAGCAGACACGGCATCGATGCCGGCAACGGCGTGGGGCTCTCGTCACCCGCCTTCTTATTGATTCCATACAAATTAACAAACACTAATTCCGTCAATTGTTTAAGCAAAATGTTCGTTTCTAGCCTGCAATCATAATAAAAAATAATAGATATCATGACAACATCAGATACATTGCCCAATAACGTCATTTAGAACTTAATAACATTTTTTTTAACTATGATAAATCAAATTTTATCCTAAGAAAAAAAAGAACAAAATGACATCCAAACGTTCGCAACACGACTGAATCGACAAATAGCCAGTCAATAAATAGATGTCAATGTTAGTCAATAATTTTATCTAACAATAGGGTAGGCCTTTGCCCCAGCAGTTGGGGTATTAATAAGCTGATGGTAATTATAAAAAACGCTTAAATATCTTTAAATAGTCAAAATAATAATCGTATATATATATATTTCATTATTTGTACCGCAAGTTTACAATATGTGGTATATAGAACGACATTGTATTAAAATAATTGTAATCCAGCTACGCAGCAACATAAGGTATGTTACAGACAGTGGCGTAGCTACTAAGGGGCTAGGCGGGGCAGTGCCCCGGGGCCCTCAAGCTCAGGGGGCCCTCGAATCTTTACCAGAAAATCTCAATCGAACTTAACTTTTGAAAATTTCTCCCGTTTTCAAAATAAATATGACAAGTGACAACTCGAGTTTAATCATGGCAACTCAGTTGTGAGAAATTCCAAAGTTATAAAAAGGGAATTCCCCTAAATTATTTGTGTGGGTTGACAGTGTTATTTATGTTTTCATCAATTTGTCGGATATCAATATCTGCATATTATTATTTATCGATATGCGTTTTTTGTGATTCGCGATTGTGAACTTCGAGTCAAGATTTTTTCGAGAATGGTTAAAAAGTTAATGTATCAGGAGTAAGTAAGCGTATGTCAATAAATTTTTTGTACTGGTCCATACAAAAGTTCAATTTTATTTGATTATAGTACGTATACATAGTTACGTTAAGAAATCGATAGATTTCGGCTACTCACTATATAACTCAAAATACCGTGCAAAATACAAGTCACATGCGATAGGGGGCCGTCCATTAATTACGTGATGTTTTTTTGTAATATTTTAAACCGTCAAATGTGGTAACACTGGCAGCGATAAAATGTTTGCCGGCGATTCCCCAACAACGTCTTGTATCGTATCATTACGTTTCGCTTTCCTTTTACTTGTAACGTTGTCAGTGAACAGTGAGTACCTACTTGAGTACATTTTTTCTAATTTATTTATGTTTGTACATAAATAAATTAGAAAACAGGACAAAAAAAAACCCAGTGGTGCATTTAAACGCAAACAACGCCAAGAAAGAGAAGAAAGTAAACTAACTAAATTGCCCAAAATTGACAAGTTTTTTGGTCAGCCTTCTGCAAGTACTTCTGGACAAAATATATCAATTGATAATTTTTGTAAATAGCTTGCATGGCGATAGGTTAAGTAACAGTAAGCTGGTGCAACGTATCTATGAATAAATAAATATATAATAAACCCTTGAATCTTTTCTATTTCGTTTAATTGCCCAATACCTACAAAAAGTATCAAAATAATTGTAATTTATGTTGTTAGTGTTTAATAGTTTTATTACCTGCCCATGCACGAAAAAGAGCTAATGATAAAGTTGCTTAGCATTTTTAAAGTAATTGTATATTTAATGATTTTACTTCAAAAAACCTTACCAGTTTTGATAGCAGTGGGCCCCATTTTTTTTATTTGCCCCAGGGCCCTAGGTTACCTAGCTACGCCACTGGTTATAGAGTGCTGATTTAAAGCATAATACATGCATGTGCTCACCACTTTGCCAGCTGTTCCGCGGAACAGTGGTGGTGAGGAGAGTCCAGGTCCCCTCCGAGGGTGGCGGCCACGGTCTCCCCTAGAGCTTGCACGTGCGACGCGCGCCCCCTGAATCCCTTCTCTATCCACGTGCGCACGCGACGCATACTACACGCTTTCAATATCTTTATATACGTTGACGCAATACTTTCGCAATACTACAAAAATAAAATAAAAAACCGTCACTTTATTGTTGGTGATCAATCGGTAAGACAAAGGAGTTTATGCACATGCAGCCATGTCATTGGTAATTTTATTTATTTGTACCATATAAGAGCGATATTTTCGTAACATATAAAAAAATGATGATAAATTTAATTGTTGCATTAAAAGAAAACACAAAAGGCAGAATTAATAATAATGCCTAAGGCATTCTTAATTTTGGGGCAAAGAAATCTAGGGACATGTAGTTATGTTAAAGTTCGAACTAATGTGGCGCATGGTGAATCTTCGTTTGTGCAGAGCAGACTAACAATTCCGATGAAGACCGAACGTCAACTTTATAGTCAACCTTGTTACAATAAACATAAGGTTTAAAATACAACGTATTAGATGGCAGTTTCACTCACAGTCAGCGGATCAGGCGCGTGGATACTTACTTCTTTCAATAACTGATAAGGCAACTCGACGGTGTCGTTGTAATCTTTCCCAAGACTATTGTATATCACCATCATTCTTTCGTCGACTGTACCTGTGGAGACAGGACTTTTTTACAATTTTCTAACACTACGGATTAAAGTTCCATAGATAGGTAAGTACAAAATTGGAACAGAAGAACAGGTAGTTGAAGTATTGCGTAATGATAAAATTAGAAATTGATTGAAATTCATCAGATTACGATTTACTAGAGTAGGCGCGACCTACATGACACGATTTGTTTCGATGGTGTTAGCGTGATTCAGTGGCGCATAACGCGTTGACTAAACGCGCTGCAGCTCTCCGTAATAGTATATAAAGGTTTAAAATCAAGAGCCAGTTTTGTAGTCTGTCTTGCAGACGACTGTACGTCAAAAAAAATAATTGATATATCCTTGTAGCAGCGTATTATAGATTTAACAATATTTTTAGATCTGCTATCAGCTCTAAATTTAGAACAAAACTATTAGGTACAATGTCAGTTGGTATAATAATGTCGTTTTTATTTGTTAGTATATGAAAAAACATCAAAAACGTTTTCATTGAAAATTTGAACACCACAAAGTTACGTCGTCGATTTCAAGTCGACCTGTGAAATTCTCTCGGCGGCCGCACTATACGTGAATCTACTAATACTAGATAGACTAGCTGGAATAGGTATCTGGATCGAGAATTAGATAATACTAGGAATAGGTGCACCTAGTATCAAAACTTGTAACCAATTCTATAACGTACCTCTTACATTATAGACGTACAGTTCTGCGAATCTATTGAAGTCGACTGACGGCGATTTCTGTTGCCCGGAACCAAACAGGAAATTTGAAAGATACTGCGCTAAACGAGGATCTATTTGAGGGCCCCAGAATTTCTGAAAACAAAAACATTAAGTTTAATTCTACTAACGCAGGGACATATTGTATATTTTTTCTCTCACTATTTCTCATTCGTAAAAGTTGTAAAACAGAGTGTGTTCCTCCCTTCCCCCTCTTTCTGAATGAACGCGAAACGAACATAAAAATACATGTTTTTTCATGTTCTTCAACAAAAATTTTCAACATATAGGAATATTCTACAGCTTTTTTCTAGGGCAGGCGAAAACCCTGACACTGGCACAAAGTTGTGAGTGTTAAAGGTAAACAATACGTATCTTTACCGATAGAACTTTGTATTTTCCACGAAATACTGTCCATTGTTGTACGGGGTGGGGTCAGCGCCCTGTAATAGCGTCCCGTACACTTAAACGATACAGAGTTTTATGGATAGCGATACGTATTATTTACATTCAATACTATATACTTTGTCCGTTTCCTTTTTTTCGCCGGCCCTAGGAGGAACACACTATAGTTCGACTGACATCAAAATCTTAGTGAGCCGGTAAGCGTAACATGGGAGCGACAAGGACAGAATTCGTGTCTATTCCGTCTTCACACTTCACCCGCGACTTCGTCCGCGTGGTATAATAACTTTGAGCAGCATTTCTAAAATCGCTAAAACAAATATTTATTAATTATATCGTTTAAAATACCTGAATATACAGTTTCATGATTTTATCTTTGACAATGACGAACTTCCATACAAACTTTAATTCCCTATATCAATCTTTTAATCATAATAAAAGCAACCTATATCCTATGCCTACTCTATTTAGTGGGTTAGGCATTTTTTTGTCGTTGGGGAAATGCTTTATGCACTGTCCCTGCCGCTTCACATGCGACAGGGGATGTGTGGGACTCTCCATACAAGGACCCGAAGACTAGTCAAAACCTGGATGGCATATCCACTAAACTCCCTCCGATGCATTCACACTTTAGGGGGAAGCATGTGGGATCCAGGAGGGACTACTGCACACCCAGCCCCCAAGTGAGTTAGGCACGAGAGCGTAACAGATATGTATATACACAGACCAACTTTTATGTATAATATTTAATATGGAATAATTAAACGATTCAGCTTGTAGCTCATTATATCTTATAACAAGATATTACCAAACAGTTACCGAAATAAATAGACTGATACCCAGTCCATTAAAAATGGTCATAGTTTACAACTCATTACCGAAATAAATTTTCTGATTTAGATCATTGATTAAGCTTAAAGTAGTCATTAAACCATAATGGACATTTGTGCAACTGGCCGTTTGAGATCTAAATTACGCTTGATGTACAGTCATCAGCACGTGAGATTATACAAATCTGTCCAATTTCTCGACTTCACTTTAAAAATGCATTGTTTGTATAACTTAAAAATCAACCGTGAAAATTTAACATGTGTTAGCCTAACGTGCTGTTGGGTATAGACATCCTATTGATGAAGAACTTAGAAAAATCACGCCTACATTGGTACTACATACTTTATGAAATTGTCTTTGACCTGGTTTAATAATACTCCCGATAGTCGAAACAAAAGATAATTATGAAAGCTATATTTAACGTGCCCTTAACATTGAATGCCCTCTCTGAATACTAAACAAGGAACAATGAGATATGACGGTTACATTCGCTTCTAAACTGCTTCCGACAAGGATACGAACGAACAACCAAAATCTATACATATTATAAAACAAAGTCGCTTCCCGCTGTCTGTACGCTGAGATATTTTAATACACAACGGATTTTAATTCGGTTTTCATCATTACACAGAGTGATTCAAAAGGAAGATTTATATGTATAATACCGGACCAAGCGGGTAAAGCCACTGGCGGAAAGCTAGTTTATAATAAAAATTAAAAAGATGTACGTGTATTATGTATGTGTTATTTTTGTAATAAAGACATTTATTTATACTTTTCAAATTAAAAAAAAAAACGAAAAAATCTTTTAAATTAACCATGGCCATGCTTTTACAGAAATAATCATCAGAATCAGTCGTGTCCGTCAGTCTAGCAGCACCATTCACTTTGTCTCTAAACTATTGGGCTGATTTTAAAAGTGCTTTCGCTTACTATAAGCAACATCATACGCGGGAGAGATAGCCTGTAATTTATACGTGTAAAGTCAAGGGAAAACAGCTAGTGAATAAACGAAGATAATTTAACAAACATAAACTACGATTGTTATTATTATAAAAACAACCGACGAATTTTCACGTTCTGTTTTAAATCTAGATCAACACGAACATAAATTTGTAATTACCATCATATCTAAGCGTCAAAATAGCAATTTTCAAATAGTTTTCTGTCAATAAAACTTACTTTGATAGCGGCCCCGTTTCATGTGCTATGTTTTAACGACGGTTTTATTGACGTAATAATAACGAGACATTACACGTGTAAAAAATATGTAATCACAATCTTAAATTGTCATTTTTCAACGCTGAAATATAATTAAAATTGTATTAGAAATACACCCTGTAAAAGATACATGAAAAAAGTGGATGAATTACCATAATTTCAGAGACCGACAGAGGGCGGCTCGACAACTTTTTCCAACCGCGGCAGAAACTTGATATTAGTCCCCTTACAGCCAGTTGCACAAACGTCCTTTAAAATTGCCATTAGTTCAATTAAAGCGACATCACCCATACAAATTTGATATTCGTTAGAGCTTAAATTCGTCATTAAACCCGAATGGACTTTGTGCAACTGACCATTAGTCCGCCACTGTTTATCATAATAGGGAATATTACCTACACAAAGCTCGGCGTAGATGGCAGCACTAGCACATATAATAAACATACAAACTTTTTCGAACATTTTGCGTTTTGGAAATTAACGATTCCCTTCCTTCTTGCTACGTAATATTCACTCTTTCCAATGATGCACTCAAAAAGTATTAAATCTGTACTATGCTTAATATTACTTTACTTAAAATCTACGAATGACATTTGAGTCAATAACCAATCTGGTGAAAATTGCAGTAATCTGTCCTATTGATAGGCAAGACGCGGGCGGGACACTAGAGGGACACGATTATTTTTCAGAGTTAGTCATAATTTTTAACCTTTCGGCATCGACAAAGTTGTAATAATACCAAATTAATAGTTCAAAGCCGACCTTCAAACTAATAATAAGGATATATGTATAAATTTCAAATAGATAATCAAAGCTTCCATAATTTTCATGTTGAGCGGGGTGTGTTTATTTTTCTATCTAATCTGTCGACGTGAACGTAGAACATTCCATTGTGTTGGGCCACGAAACATGCTGTTTATCTGCTCTTAAAAATAAATTTCCGATATATCGAGAACTTTATCATCATGTTCTATTCCGCATTGTTAAAAAAAATTAAAGTAGTATAAATTTAAATCAGAGATCACCCTTAAAATTGCCAATTAATATAATGAAGGAAATTGTGAATAGATTAGTGTCTACCCTGAGATGGGGCCGCCTAACTCTAGCCAATTTTAAGAGTACAAGCCCTGAATATTACGTTACTTCCTATCTTCTTAATATGATTTTTGCTTCTTATGTACGAGTCCGTCATCAACACAGGCAGTTTTGGATATCAGTATTTTAGAGTGACATTCAGCCATATCGTTAATGTTACTTATAAGTTGCCATATTTTTTCGTAATATATTGCATTATTTGCGAAAAATAGCTAATATATACTGTTTCAGGAATTTTACAGGAATCAGAAATCTTACATTTCAATACAAATAGGTCTCAGTTATATAAAAGACTAAGGCTCTAAAATAAGTACTAAGAGTATATTTTTTTAACCTAATGGAATTAGCCGTGTCATAAATATATGGTAAAATTGAATGAAAATCAGTTTAAACAACAAGTCTATTTAGTGAGAAAAAGACTACAAAAGCAAATGCTTCGATAAAGGCAAACATCGAATCGGCATCGCTCGATTCGTGGCCCACCGTATAACAACGGGCCCATCTATTATTATGAAGTAACATTGAGATGAAGCATGCTCCTGTAAATATTGAAGACGTCTGAGCAGCGCCAGGCAAAAAAAAAACACATGAACAAAACAGTAACAGCCGTTCTGACCTAGGATATGAGTTATAAATCAATAACGTTACCTTTTACTATTAACTACCGCTCTCCTTCCATAAGGAAATATAGAAAAAAGTCCCGGAACCTTATTGAATACAATAAAACATTTGTAGTGTACAATCAGTTGTCTATGATTTGCATTCCAATTTTATTTCCGATGTAATGAACGTCGATCATTAATAAGTAGCTCATTGTGTTTCTATTTTTATTTTTAAGCACGAAATCCAAACTTACCGAAAAACATCCTGAAGCGTTTATATCAAATTAAAATTATCAATATTAAATTTCAACATAAAAAACCAATGGGAAGATTTTCAGTTAAATACAGATTCCATAGCGAAAGACAAGAGGTCATTTTAAAATTTTGGAAATTCCATTCGGTACATAATGGAGCATATTATAGGAAAATTCTCCAAGCTCCTAATTAAATTCCTTATAAAAAAATTGCATAAGAGCCACCTGCCGTGATGTCTACTATCTAAAAATGCTTATCACAAAAATAAACTGCACAGAACCGAAATGAACTAGAAAACGATTACAATTAAAACGCATTGGAAATAACCAAATAACAGAAACACTCAATCAATCAAGCGCCAACTGTGTATTTAATGTCAGTAGTACAAAGCACTAATATAAATTTATGTACCTACTGTTCACACGAACGCAGATATTAATATCAACGTGTAGAACCGCTCTTGTGACGACGAACCACACAGTTTCATCACACATTCAAGAAAAGCTCGACGGCGCAGTGATTAGCGCATTCGATATGCCATGCGGAAGTTCCGTGAAGAGTTAGTATTAATATGGATGGTGACATTTTTTTATTTATTTTTCAGTCAGGTACATTAAGTTGAACCTTTGTGCATTTTCTACATAGTTGTGACGTAGCGAACCCCCACTCCTCAACTTTAATGCCTAT